GATCCGAGCATCTGCAGGTTCTCCCAGGGCAGACACCATGCACGTGTCCCCACGTGGTCATTTCCATTAAACCACCTGTGAGCCCCAGGGCCTCTTTGCAGGCTGTGAACAGACACAGGGCCACCCGCTGGGATGCTTCTGCGAGAAGCCACCCTCTGTCCCTGGGAGCACGCGCCCTTCGGTTCCTTGGGGGGGGGGGGCTGGACCTGAGCCAGCATCCGCCTGCACCTGCCTTCGCCTCCTCTCGACAGCCCCCACCTGGCCGCTCCAGGAACACAGCCCTTCCTGCACAGGGTTCGAGCCGCAACCTCCTGACCTTCCAGGCTCTGGTTTCCCACACAGGGTCCCATGATCCTGTCACACGCATCACAGGGTGGGTCCCACATTTTGGGGTTCAAAATACACAGATCTGTTTAGAAACCCTGCAACACTGAGCAACAGAAGAGACTGGTGTGGGGGGAGGGGGAGAGGCATGAAGACGTGCCCAGCAGACACCGCAGGGAGCACGCGCACGGCGGTTCCACGTGTGTTTTAAACTCACACGCGTGCGTTGTGCATGTCTGCGTGTGCCCCTTCCACCGCCACCCTCACACACAGTGCAGGCACCTCTGAGCAGTGAGGGTCCCTGAGCGTGCCCACATACGCCGTGTTGCTTGGGTGTTGTCTTACAGAGAGACTACATTGTCCCTGGTAAACTGTGCAATAAAATCAAAACGTGCATGTCCTCAAGCGGGGCCAGAGATTCGGCTGTCACAGAGAGAGAACGAAAAGGCTGTGACGGTTCACACAGGGGAGCCGTGGGCAGTGCCCCCGGCTTGGAAAACACAAACACAGCCCGGCCAGCCGCCGGCTGCGGGCAGGCACATCCGAGAGCCTAGGAGCAGGGGGGCACAGTGCAGCAGCAGCACGTGGGAAGCACGGCGCGGACGAGGGTCCAGACCCCTGAGGGCACCAGACGTGGCTCTCAGAGTCGCTCTGACCCTGTGCGACCTCTGCTGGCTCAGGGTCTCTCCAGGCCTCTGTCCCCGCTCCTGAACCCTGGCAATGACCACAACACCCAATCGCAGACGGAATCAGCACCATTGAGGTGCTAGCGACTGTCACCAGGAGGGAAGGAGTCGGGTAGCAAGCACGAGGTATATTCTTAGCTCTCCACCAAAGTAGGTTATGGTATAAAAATACCAGTACATAGTAACTCAGCCAGCCCCACGGCCGGCAGCCTCGCGCGGGCGCCTCCTTCCTAACTACCCTCATTACCGAGTCAGGGCCAGAGCCCGCCGCACCCACCGCTCCGCACACGGGGAGGAGACCTCTGGGGCCAGGGCCTGGGGACACAGCTGACCTGGGCAGGGGGCCCCGCATGAGAGATGGTGTGGGGCACCGGGGACAAGACAGGAGCTGGGGGGGCAGGGTGTGCGGGCACCCGAGGGAGCGCAGGAGGCTGGTTGGGCGGCCCAGGAGCGAGGGGTGGCGCCTGGCACGCTCTGGGAGGCCAAAGGCAAATACGGCACTTCCTCCCCGCCCGCGTCCCCTCTTCCTTAGCAACCACTCTCAGAGCTCGGCAAACCCAAAAATCGATTTGCTCTGAACGTCCTCAGTTTATCCATTAACCACCCAGAGGCCACGCCCCAGCCCAGAGCATAGCTCTCCGCATGGTGGGCACGGTGACAGCGATGGGGCAGCCAGCAGCGCCCCGCCCGCCCATGGCCCGCCAGGCAGCCTGCTCCCTAGGGCTGGGGGAGCCCCAGCAGTGTCAAGGACACAGCAAGGTCAGTTCTGGGCCCATCTGAACTCAGGCAAGCTGCCCGCCTCCCTTTGTCTCAACGGGGAGCGGGCAGAGGGCTTCCTGAGCCGCCAATCAAATCGGACCTCTTGGCGCTTGTCTGGGTGTTGCTTCACATGGGTGACAAAAGGAGCTCATGGACCCCAAAACTGCAACCGACGCCCTAGGGAGCTGCTTCCTCCCATGGACAGCACCCACACTTTGAGGACACTAGGGCTCCCTAAAAGGAAGACATAAAAATTCACACCACTTCTTGCCCAGCGTTTACAATCCAAGTCCAGGGCCTGCAGCACAGGGGAGTAGCACCCTAACACGCCTTGGGAGCACCCCAGGGGAAGCCTGCAGACCCTTCCTGGGAGACACGCCAAAGCAGCCCTCACGCCCGTGCCAGCAAACACGTGTGTGCTGCTGTCCCGCGCCGGCGGAGCGCCGAAAGCAGTGGCAACCTAGATTCCCACCTGGAGCGGGCCGGAGAGCCCAGGCTGGCTCCAGGATGTCACGCGGGGCACCCGCGGCTGGGAGGGCCACGTCCAGGGACCGCACGACACCCGCCTTTCCAGGGAAAGCAACGCTGCACGGAAAACACATGCAAGAATCCCTACGCAAGCATCGGCTGTGGTCCCCGCGTCGGCGTGTAGCTGCGCCCTGAGGAGCCGCGAGGAAACACACAAGACACAAACGTGCGACCGCAGCCGGGGGCCACGGGCTCCCTAACGTATTCGCCTGTAATACTTTACTTCTTATAACTTGTGAGAAAGGGAGAAGTCAGCGAAAGTGGCAAAAGATGAACAGTTTGCAACCTGAGCAGGCAAACCACCGGCACTTCTTTTGCGAGTTCTGGTATTTTCTGAATTTTGAAAAATCTACAAGATGTAAAGCAAGCGAGACCCGCACTGCAGGGTCCACACCGCCCAGGACGTCCCTGCTTCACTGTGCGCCTGCCCCTGGGGTCCCTGGGCTCCAGACAGCTTCGGCTCCCCACAGGGCTGGACACTGAAGGGCACACCCATAGCCCCAAGGTGGGCAGGACCCGTGGCACGGCCCCCAGGGCACACCCAGGAGCAGAGGCGGAGAAAGGACAGGGCAGGAGAAGGAGAAGCCTTCGAGCAGCCTCAGGCCCGTGGCCCAGCCCATCCACCAGCAGGGACAGCGGGCAGCTCGGCGCGCCTGACTGGGTGCCAGGGGCTGCAGCTTTAAATAAACTTGGACCAGTCCACCTGGGCCGGGAGGCAGCACCAACTGTGCCCCGGCCAGCCCTGTCAACAACTAGCCAGCATGGCCGCTGCGGATCCCGCCTGCACGGCCCCGGCCCCCTCCCCACATGCTGCCTGACCCCAGGCATTCCCCTGGGGCCAGACAGGCTCAGCTGGGCTGAGCTGACCGATGCTGGCTGCGACGCCCCCTCTTGTCCCAAGTCGCTGCAGGCCCCTCACATCGCACCCACTCCCTTCCAGCCGCTCCTCCTGCCCACCTGGGAAGCAGTGAGCGATTCCAGCCCCCACCTGCCCCTCCAGGAGAGTCAGCCCCAGACACCTCTACTCTCAGGGTGGCGGCAGCTGCCGATAACCAGTTGCTGTTGGGACGGGAGGCTGGGGGCGGGGGGACCCAGCCAGCCCGAGCTGCGGCCAGGGAAGGTGGCCATGCCACAGGGAAGACAGGAGACATGGAATGAGCCTGGGCTGGGGCCCCCGACTCGCCAGGGGCTGCCCTGGCAGATGCCAAGGGTGAGGGCCTGTGTGATTCCGGACACAGTGGAGGAGAGGCCACGAAGGTCCCTGGAAGTGACCACTGCCCTCTTCCCGGGACAGCCCGCCACCTGCCTGACCCACAGCATGGAGACAGCACCGGGGACACAGGGCAGCGGGGGGGGTCTGAGCACCACTGGGTCAGACCCAGGGCTCCCACGTGGACCCCCAGCCCACCCAGCACCCTCTTCCTCTCTGCCTCCGGCCCAGCCTGCCCCGGAAGGTTGTTCCTTCCAGGGCGGCCCTCCACAGCCAACAGGCCTCCGCCAAGGGGTCCTGAGCTGCCCCTATCCCCTCACTTCCACCCTAGGCCGCCCCCAGGCCTGCTTGACCTGGGGTGTCCCCACGTGCAGAGAGAAGAAGGAAGGCGCGCAGCGCACCCCTCCCGCGGCTGCTCCACAATTATCAGCCATCAGCGTCCCTCGCCCACCACAAGCTTCCACCAGGCGCTTTTTTAGTAAAGGGGAAAAAAGGATCTGCCGCTGCAAGTGTAAGAGGAAATCTCGCCAGCGCCCCCGCCCGCAGGAGAGCTGGGGGAGGGCGGGGGGGGGGGGGAGGGGAAGGATGGGCCCGGCGCGATCCGGAGTTCTGAAGCCAGCCCAAGGGGTGCCAGGCACAGCCACCTTGGTGCGCCGAGGGGGACCTGTGGGGCTCCCTAGCCTTTGACCTGAGGGGCAGAGCGGCACCTGAAGACCCCAAAGCAGGACATGGCTCGCCTGGCGGAGCGCACGGTGTGTCCAGGGGCTGGGGCACCTGTTCCCAGGAGGCCCCACCTGCGCCTGGCCATCACGGCCCCTCGCTGCCTCCGGGAGCCCGAAAACAACGCTCCCAAACCCAGCCCCAGGAGCCGCCCGCGCGGGAGCCCTGCCTCACCCCTTCATCCCCACCCTTCATGACCTGACCCGGACTCCCTGACCTCGCCCCCTCCTCCAAATAACTGTTTCCAGAAGAATCTAGGGAAAGATCCTCCCTGGATCGCCGGGGGCCCACGCAAGGCTGCTCCCACGCCGGCAACCCGCACGGAGGGGGCCGCGCAGGAGCAGGCGCGGAGCGGGTCCCGCCGCCCCCGCCGCCGCCGCCCGGTGGGGGTGGGGACAGCGCGCCGCGCGGGGGCGACCCCCGGGGCCGCAGCCGGCCGGACTCGGCGCACCAGGCCCCGCGCCCGCCCCCGCGCGCCCCTCCTCGGTGACCTCCCCGCCGCCAAATGCGTCACGTCTGCCCCGCGCTCGGGGGACACCTGCTGCCGCCCCCGCCGCGCGAGTCCAGAGCCCCGGGCCCCCGGGCGCCGCGCTGTGCGGCGCCGGGCCCGGGGTCGGGGTCGGGCAGCGCGGGGCCGCACGCTCCGGCCGGGGCCCGGAGGAGCCGGGGGCGCGCCGGGCCGCAGTGCGCCCGGGGCCGGCGGCGCCGAGGCTCCAGCGCCCCAGGGGCCCGGCCCTCGGGGGCCCGGCCAGCGCGCGCGCCTCGGCTCTTACTTGCCAATATCCTCGTAGAGCTGATACTCGTCGGTGAAGCGAGTGCAGGTCACCGTGGTGGCCATGGCGGCGGCGGACGGGAACGGCGTGCGCTCGGCTGCGCTCGGCGGCGGCGACTCCGGCTCCCGCTCGCGGGCACGGCGGCGACACGGGCGCGGGCGCGGAGACACCTCGGCTCGCGGCGCCGGGCGGGGGCCGGGCTGGGCTGCGCGCGCGGCGGGCGCACGCGAGATCTGCTCGCTCGGTCCCCGCCAGGAGCGCGCCGCACACCTACGCGGGGAGGCGCGGGAGCGCTGTCACCGCCGCCGCCGCCGCCGCCGCCGCGCCCGCCCCGCCTGCTGCCCCCAGCACGCGCCGCATCCGCGCCCCGCACACGCCGCTCCTGCACTCGCGCCGCGCCACACCCGCGCCCTGCACCTGCACCGGGCCCGCGCCCTGCATTCAAACCGGTGTCCTGCACCCGCACCGCGCCGCATCCGCGCCCCGCACACGCCACTCCTGCACCCGCGCGGTGCCTGTACCCTGATACAGCACGCTAGCACGCACGCCGCTCCTGCACCCACATTGCACCGGCTCCTGTGCCCCACTCGGGGCCCTGCACATGCACCCACACTTACAGCAGTGCCTTTCACCCGCACATGTGTCTGTCGCAATACATGCGGCCGCACCATGAACCTGGACACGCACCTATGCCCTGCACCCACACTCTGCACCCACATCATGCCCACACACTGCATCCGCACGGCCACATTCTGCACTCCCACTCGCACCCTGCACCTGCACGCACACCTGGACCCGTGTGCTGCCCACATGCACATCCTGAACCCACACCTGAACAGGGCCTACACCCTGCACCCACAGCCTGTGTATCGCGCCCCCCACACACACACCTGTGCTGCACCCACAGCCTGTGTTCTGTGCTGCACCCACACAGTGCCTGCACCCATGCTGGCTCCAGGACGGCTCTCAGTGGGAGCCCAGCCTCCTCTCACCACTGGAGGCCCCCAGGCTCTGAGCAGAGGACACTGAGGCCCGTGTGGGGGCCCTGGCTCCTGTGCTGCCCTGACAGGACTCACTGCTCCACCCCTGGGGGGGGGGTGCCGCCAGAGCCTCCTGCTCAGGCTCCCTGGGGCCACACGCACGCCGTCCCGTCCCCTCTGCCGGGACTGCCTGGCGGGCACGTCGCTGGGGCACTAGAGCCGGGGACGACAGGATGGCCCGAGGGTGCTCCTGCCCCGTGCTGCCCGCCCCTCGCTCCCGCACTCCTCCAGGACCAGGGGCTGAGGCCAGGGCACCTGGATTGGCGGTTCTGGGAGGTTTGGAGTCCAGGTCAGAGGGACAGAGGCTGCTCTATTAGTGACGCTGGGGTCCTGGGAGGCCAGTCCCCCCGCCCAGCTAGCGGGCACATTCGCCCTCCCCAGGTCTGCTCCCTTGCTTGTCCCTGCTGTGGCCTGGAAGAGGAAGGCCCAGAGTGGGTGTGCAGGGCAGCAGGACAGGGGCGGGCCCAAAGGGCAGGCACCAGGCTGCCCTGTGGAACTGGGACGTCGGGCACCCCGCCCCCTCCTGAGGCCACAGGACCAGGCCATCCCGGGAGGCTCGGAGGAGCGTTTCCAGCACCCGTGGGTGGGGCCGAGCCGCTGGCCTGACAAGACCCACATTCTGAGCCTGTGCCCCCCTCTCGGCTGGCGGCCAGAGCCAGCAGTCCCAGAGCCGCGGCACCTGCGACCCCGATGCAACAGCAGCGGAAGGGGCAGCCAGGGACCTCCCAGCCGGGACGCAGAGCCCTGGCCACGAGGCTTAGTGGACAGGGACACGCAGGCGACAGGCAAGCGCAGGTCCCACACGGACGTCCCCGGCTGGGGCGACAGAAAGAGGCTGGCTTTGACCTCAGCAGGGAAGGACAGCCTGTCAGTACGCATCCTGCCAGGCCAGGGGGCGGGAAGCCGGGGGTCCCCACAGACCCGGCTCGGGTTTGCTCCGGGGCTTTCTTTCCACTCCACAGGAGCGTCCCCAGCACCTGCTGGCTGCAGCTGCGTGGCGCCTGGCTGACCTCTGGACGGACGCCGGACACACGTGAGTCCAATTAGCAATCAGACAGAGCCAGTCAGGCTCTTCAGGCTCCTGCACAAATGCACATCCCAGCCGGCGCCGCCGTGGACTGCGCTCCGTGCCTCACGTGCGTTCCCCTACCCAGTCCTCCAGCAGCCCCCCAGGCACCTGTATCCATGTCCCCACTTCACCAGGCACCCGAGACACGGCAGTGGGCACGGCTGGGCCACACACCTGCAAACGCAGCACACACACTCGTTCACAAACACACGGCACACACGCTGACACGGTTTCCCACAGGCAGCCCTAGGCCGGGGGACAGCAGCTCCCTGGGAGGTCTTTTGCGAGGTCACCTTGTGAAAGGCGGGACCATGGTTACACAAGATATGGGGGTCCCCCAAAGGGTGACCTGAGGACCACGGCAAACTCCACTCCTGCTGGCCCCGGGATGCTCCGGCAGTCCCTGCTGGGGGCTGGAAGGGTTGAGGCACCAGGGGCTTGCCCCTGCCAGCCTTGACCCTGACCCCGTCACAGAAGAGCCCCTTGCACCCAGGCCCACAGGGCGTCCACTCTCCCTAGCGCAGCAGAAAGGCTAGGAGAGAGAAGGCTGCCAGCCATGACTTTCCGCTGCCAGACCCCAGGGGCCCTCTCCTCCGGCTTTGGCTCTGAGTGCCCCTCCCCCACTCCCAGGAAGGGCCCCTGCACCCTCACCCCCGCGTCATCGCTGCCTCCCCCTTGTCCTGGCTCGCTCGCTTGCAGGAACGTAAGCGGGAGGGCTCTCCCTCCCAGGTGGCAGCTGGGGCGGGTGTGGGGAATATCAGTTATGGGAGGTTATTGTTAGGACAGTCACCATGGCAACCAGCATCACATCTGCAGAGCCAAAAGTGCTGCACATGGGGCCCGTTCTCCCTGGGAGAGCCACGGCCTCCGGGGGCTGCTGTCACACAGGGACGTCACTGCCACCACTTCTCTCGGGCCTGGCATCTGCCGGGCAGAGCAGGCGCTGGCCCCCGAGCGGGAAGACCCTGGTCCATCGATCCCACTCTCCCAGCCCGGACATGGCGGCCTGGACAGGACCTGGAGGTAAGCAGTTGGGTAGCAATAGTGACAGCGCTGTCGCCGCTGACGGTGTGAAAATGGCGACGGTGGTGATGGCGGCGGCGGTGAGCACGGTGGCGCTGGCGGGGGCCAGAGATAGGATTTGGAACGCACTTATCGCACGCCGGACCGTGAAGGTGCGCCTCGAGACAGGCACTGGCGCCGCGGTGAAGCCGCAGCTCCGCCTCCTGCTGATGTGTGTGCTGGGGGCGGCAGGTGATGGCTCAGGTGGGAGGCTGGGTTGACCTGGCCCACCTCTGACCGGCCTGGGCATTCGGGGAGTCGAGATGGGCTTTTGCTACCTGCTTCCACGGACGAGGAACCGAGGCACAGAGGATTCTAAGTGGCTTCTCGCAGGCCACACGCCGGTGCGGTGCTGGCACGCAGACCGCCGGCTCCATAGCTGGTGTCTAACTGTGGCTCTGCTCCCTGGTGCTGTTGCTGTGAGCCCGGCTCTGCCCAGGCGAAGAAGACGGACACGGCTGCTGCCCGTGCAGGGCTGACTCCCAGGACCGACAGGGAACAAAGGGGAATTGTGGGGGAGCCACGTGCGCCACAGGTGGATCTCCAGCAGAGTGACGCGCTGGAGGGTGACAGATGGCACCGTCAGGGTGGCTGTCCACGGGAGGCGTTCCGAGGGTGGACACTCAGAGGTCTGAGGGCCAGAGAGCGCGGGGAGGAGGGGCACTGGCAGAGCAGGGGGCTGGGCAGAGGCCCCGTGGCCGCCTCGAGCCGGAGCATGGAAGCAGGAGAGGGAAAGCCCGCAGAGCCCGGGACCCCTCGTCAAGGGTTCCTCGGCAGAGGCCACGGGCACCTGCGTCCTCCAAGGCACTGAGCCACTTTGGGGACAGACAGGCAAAGCCATCAAGCCCTGGGCCGTGCGCGGTGCCTGCAGGTCTGGCTCAGAGGCCCAGCTGTGGACACGGGTTGGGAACTCCCAGTCCAGCTGCTCCCTCACAGGCATCCGAGGGCACCACGCTGTGCCCAGGAGGGGCCACAGCCCTGGGCAGAGGCCAGCAGCACGGGCAGCCTCCTGAAGCCACTCCCAGACTGGGGCTTGACCCCAACCCCTGCACCCTCCCCGGGCATCTGGCTCCTCCGGGCTCGTCCTGGGCCAGCCCTAGTCCCGGCCCCCGACCCAGGCACCTTTGCCCGCAGGAGCCATCAGTTCGGTAGCAACAGGCCCAACAGCCAGGAGGGTGGAAAGGGCCAGGCTTGTGGTCACAGAAGCTGACACCTGCGCCCTCCTATGTTGCCCAGTGCAGCCTCCACCCACAGCACAAGAGTGAGCTCACGCGGGAGGCTGGCGACACAGCTGGCATTCCCAGGGCAGAGCAGGGCCAGCGTGCATGGCAGGGGGCCTGGGAGGGGCACGGGGCTGCCTCTACTGACTGTTCTAGCGTCCAAGGTTGGCCTTGTTCCTGCTGCTCTGCCGTGGAGATCTGGCCACACCCCGAATGCAAGCAGCAGGACCAAGCAAGAGAGGTGGACTCTGGGCACTGGACAGCTTTCTCCCACATGGCCCCAGGGACAGCCCAGGGGCCAGCATCTGCTCCCCTGACTTCATGCAGGGAGATGGCACCCCCTGCCTCCCCCCAGGCCGAGGGACCTGCAGCACTCAGCCGCGGTTCTAGGTGCTGCCTGGTGGCAGGAGCTAACCCCTGACGGCTGTCCTCGCTGACTGCCATGGACAGGCGCCAGACCCCGTGGGAGAGAACGCACGCGGGACGGGCACCTGCCTTGGAGAATCCTTTGATTCCTCCCCATGACCATAGCAATGCCTCTCCTAGGAGCTGACCTCAGACCATGGAAAGAAAGGAGGGAACCTGGGCCAGAGCGCTCACGTGACCGGGAATGCGGCGACCACGCACACAGAGCTGCACACGCTCTCACAACAGGGCTGCGCAGCTCGGACAGGAAGCTGAAACAACCACTACCCACCGTGTGACTCCATTTTTACGGAATCCTAGAACCAATCGGGCAAGCGGCTGTCACGGCGGAGGGTCAGGGGTCAGTGCCGAAGGTTCCAGAACCTTCCGTAATGGTAGAAATGTTCCCTTTTGTGTGTGGTCACATTGTGTAGACGTTTATCAAAAACTTGGCAAACTATACACTTAAAATTAGCACATTTTATGCAAATGTAATTTACATATAAGTTGTGTGTAATTATATGCACAAATCATATCTCAGCTTGACAAAATGCATACCCGTATCCATAGCTCATAGCGGAACACATTTGTTTTCAGCCCCACGGAACAGTCTTAGCAACAGAACAAGCATTAGAAGACAAAGAGAATCACAGAAGGTTCACAAAGCAGGGATTTTATTGCTGATGAGAGTGTGATAAAATTAAAAAGAAATCACCAAAGGAAAGCCAAATAAATCCACCCAGCAAGGACTGAAATGGCAAACTGTGGAAACTCCAGAGATGAAACGTGCCCCAGGACACAAGCGAAGCCCCTCTGCGTGTACTACAGTCATGGGGAGGCCAAAGCCACGCTCCGAGGAGGAGTCGTAGGCCAGCTGGCGCCTAGCGGGAAACAGCAACACGGAAAATGAACCAGGGTTTACAGCTCGGGAAGCTGGGAGAGAGCGAAACAAGCCGAGGCAGAGAGAAGGACGAACTTGACGATGCCAAGCGGAAATCAGTGAAACAGAAAACCCAGCGCGTGCTGTGAGGGCAGCAGGCGATGGCCCGGGTGGCTGGGTCCCTGACACCACACCGGAGACCCAGGCTGGTTTCCAGGTTGCTGGCTTTGGCCTGACCCAGCTGTCGGGGGCATGTGGGGAGCGAACCAGCAGACGGAAGACCTCTCCCCCTCCGCCCCCCTTCTCCTTCCCTCCTTCTCCCCCTCCCTATGTCTGCTTTCCAATTAAAATGAAAATTAAATTTTTTAAGAAGAGAAAAAAGAAAACCCTAAAAAAAAAAAAAGCTCTCACGAGGAGGTGAGGCGGGGCCTCTCAGCCACCAGGGCGTGGCCACCCCCAGCCCAGGGCACAAGGCATCTTTTTCTTTAATTTTTTTTGTTTTAAGATTTATTCATTTATTTGAAAGAGTTAGAGAAAGGCAGAGGCAGAGAGAGAGAGAGAGAGAGTGAGAGAGAGAGAGAGAGAATCTTCCATCTGCAGTTCCACTCCTCAAAGAGCAACAATGACCAGGGCTGGGCCAGGACGAAGCCAGGAGCCAGGAGCCAGGAGCTTCTTCTGGGTCTCCCACATCGGTGCAGGGGCCCAAGGACTTGGGCCATCTTCTGCTGTTTTCCCGGGAGCCTTAGCAGGGAGCTGGATCAGAAGAAGAGCAGGTGGGACGTGAATCGCGCCCAGGTGGGACGCCGGCGGCCTCACGGCTGAGCCACGGCACCAGCCCAGGGCGTCTTTCTACTGCAGACAGAAAGTCAGAGAAGGCTGCCGCCGCCTCCCTCTTGTTCCGCTCTCTTTTGCTTCGTGCCTACAGACAGGGACGGTGTCGCGCATCCACGCATTCATTGGCTCCTGCTCTTGCTCAGGGGCGCCGAGAAGGGCCACGGCCCAGGCCACCCACTGTCCCCCCTGCAGAGCCAGGAGCGCTGGGGACAGGCATGGTCAGTTCCTGGGGCTTCAGCAGAAAGAGTCTGTGACAGACGCGCACCGCAGAGCTGACCGTGACCCAGGAACCCGGAGAGAACCCAGCTCGCCCGCGGCAGTGGCCTGGCCTGGCCTGACAGCTCCGGCCGTGTGACCACACGGACACCCCAGAGCCTCCCTCGGGGCAGCCAAACACGACGGCTCGTGCTCAGGGCCTGAGGTCGGGACGTCACCCAGAGGGGGGCAGAGCAGCGGGAGGCTGCCAGGCAGAGCCCACAGCTCCTGGACACCTCCCGTGTGCCACACGTCACCCCCGCAGCCCTGTGCACATGCAGACGCCCGCACGCAGGGTGAAGCGGCACACCCAGGGCTGGCCAGGTCTGCACACACAGGAAACCCCTGGCCAAAGCAACGCCGCCCTGAGCACAAAGGGACGGCTCCGGCCACGCACACGACCCTGGGTCTCTGAGCTCTACCGCCTCCCCCGTCCACATCCAGGAGGGGAGGCAACAGTTCAAAGCCACGCTGCCACCCGGTCCCACAGAGGCCCTCCCTTCAGGGTCTCCTGCTCCGGCCCTCTGGCCCCACGACCCTGGGCAGGCCAGCGGATGGAAGAGGGGCTCCTGCCTGAGGGCACAGGTCCCTGCCAGCTCCCACCTGTATTCCACGTTGCAGGTCCTCTCGGAAGCTTGGCGCGATGGACGGTCCCTCCACCTGCGCATGCCCAGTCCCTGCTCCAGCTGCACCGCCGGCCGTGGCTGGGCGAGGCCCCGGGCTCCGGAGACACTGACACAGGACAGTCTCAGCGGAGGAGCCCCCTGAGGGAGGCGAGGGCCGTGGCCATCTGACGGGCAGCTCCAGGCTGGGCTGTGGCCAAGCTTGCTGGTGTCTCTGGCCTGGCCAGAGCATCAGCCACACAGCTGGGGGGGGCAGGGTTTCAGCCCCGACCGCGGGGTCAGCCTCCACGGCAGGTGCCCCCCACAGACCCCATCAGGTTTGGACCTGATTGGCTGCCACTGGGGCTTTCTGCCCGGGCGCAGCCTCTGCAGGGCCTGGAGGTCCTCAGGGGTCTCCTGGACCCTGCTGCCTTCTTGTTGTGCAACCCCGGTCCATCCACCCCACCGCCCCCCGGTCCCGGGAGAAAGCGCTGGAGCCAGGCCTGGAGACTGTCCTGCGGTGCACCCTGCAAATGCCACACACCAGCATCCCCCCATGGCTACCGCCCACACTGGCCTGCGCACGTCCACCACCAAGAGCTTATCTTCAGGGCTCGGAGGGTCCATTTGAAAGCGCAGTTTGGAGTCGGGACGGTGGCCACTGCAGGCGACACGTGAGCAGCAGCTGCAAGGGCCACCCTGCCTGTCCAGCTGGAGGGACTCCAAACGGGTGGACAGGTTTGGGGTAAATATGCTAAGTCCCAGCCAACGCCCCGTGCCTGGGGGGCCAGGCAAGACGCAGGCTGGAGGCCAGAATGGAGCAGGAACCAGGGGGACCTGTGCGGCACCGTCAGTGAGGCAGGTCCAGCCTGCAGCCCCGGAACTCACCGGGAGGCGGGAAAGGCCCCCAGGGGCCCTGGAGGTGCAGCCCAGGGCAGAGGGGCTGGGTGGGGGGAGGGGCAAAGAGCAGGCGGAGCAGGGGTGGAGCATGGCGGACAGCTGATGCACGGTGGGCCCAGGAGGGCGTGGGGGTCAGGGTGGGGAGGCAAGCACCCCCTGCTCCTTCCGGAATTTTCCGTGACTCCACTTTACACATTTTGGGGTCCTCACCCCAACATCCACGAATGTGTACAAAATCCAGGGGGCTGCCGTCTTCGGACAGCAGAGGGCAGGCAGCGGGGGACTCGGCCCCCAGGCGGGGAGGCAGGGGACTCACAGGGTGAACCCCTCCCTGCTGTTCTGAATGGCAGAAGCGAAGCCTCACTCTGCCCCGTCCAGGGTGCGAATCCGCCCGCTGCCCAGGGTATCCCCCCAGCAGTCACCCTGTAGCCGGATGCAGCCTTCGGAGCTGGTGCTCAAGTGACCCCTGCTCTACTGAGCGGGTCCCCAGCGTGCAAGGGTCGGATGCAAAGGGGGCCCAGGGGCGGGGACACAGGGGGAGCGCACAGGGGTAGCAGGGGCACAGGGCAGGGCATTCTGTGCCGCTCGCCATCCCAGCAGTCCACTGGGACTCTTGGCTCGCGTCCTCCGTGGGCGAGGGGCACAGAACGGTAGTGGTGGCGGCTGTGGACATCCTCGCCTCGCCCCGAACCTCGGGGGGAAGCGTCCCACGTGCCGTCATTCGGAAGCTTTTTATAGATCCGCTTTAACAGAATAGGAACTTTCCCTTCTATTCCGAGGACGTGAGCTGAGTGATTCCAGCCTTGTGGAGTGTGGGGACAGCGCTCCACGGTCCCCGGCCACTTCGCTGAGCCCCGCTCGTTCTCCCGCTGACCCTGAGAGGTGGGTCACGGTGTCCCAGCGCCCCTGGCCCTTCAGCGTTGTCGGTCTTCGCGCAACACAACGTGCGGCTGTGCGGTTCTGCTCACGCCAGAATGTGTGTGCCCTCACCTTACCTGCTCCTGTGGTTCACCCGCTCCCCACGGCCCGTCTCCCGCCACTGCACCTCGTGCGGGTTTAGCTGCGTGAGCTTCCTCTGGGCTCTGGCCTGCACGGGGCACAGTGCGGCGTTAACTATCAGGCCTGGTTGGTCCACGAAAGCACTCAGCCGTTTGCAGAGGCCTCTGGGAGACAGCCTGCGAGGCCCTGGCGTCCCTGCCTGCTAGGACGGAGGCTGGGACAGTACCACCCCAGCTACGCCAGCGTTGTGAACTGTGACCCCCACACAACCCGGCCCCTAAGACCTCAGAGTGCGACGGTATGTGGAGGTAGGATATTAGTTATTTTCTAAAGATTGGTGTATTTGAAAGGCAAGGTTACAGAGAGGGAGGGAGGGAGGTAGAGAGAGAGAGAGAAGGAGAGAGATCTTCCATCTGCTGGTTCTCTCCCCAGTGGTTGCAGCTACGGCACAGGCCAGGCAGAAGCCAGGAGCCTGGAGCTCCCCCCTGGGGCCCCCACGTGGGTGCAGGGGCCCCAGCACTCGGGGCGTCCTCCGCCGCCTTCCCGGGTGCAGCAGCAGGGAGCAGGCACTCAATACGGGATACAGGCGTCCTAAGTGGTGGCCACGATACCGCCCCAATATCATCATGATTTACATACTTTAACCATTCTTGTCACGGTCACCGTGATGCAAACGTACTGGAAATGCACTCGTTTTGCAGGGTTCCCTAGAAATACCCTCATTTTATATTTCTTCTGAAGAACCATCTATTTGTTTCCACTACCGGATTCTGTAGAACCCTGGGCTGCTGGTGATCCCCCCGCCCTTTGTCCCCTGCCTCTGCTCATTTGTGTGCAGGGGGCTGCTCCTGTGTGCCTGCCTCCTGCCCCCACTGGCTCCTCTGAGACTCAAGGCGGTCTTGGACTCCCCGCTGCGTGGGAGCGCCGGAGCATCCTCCGTGTGGGGGCTGGGTCAGGCCAAATCCAGGAGCCTGGGCCTCCGCTGGGTCTCCCACGTGGCTGCAGGGGCCTAAGGGCTTGGGCCATCGTCCGCTGCCTTCCCAGGCCATAGCAGGGAGCTGGATGGGTGTCACAGGCGACAACAGGGCCCCGCCCCGCGCCGTGGGTACTGAACCACAGGCCAGAGCTTCAGAGGCAGCTCGTTGGCACCTGGCCGACTTGTTCTCCCCGTCACGACATCTCTGACAGCCCAGGGTCCGCCTCTCCTCTTCCCGGGGACAGCCGCGTGCTCGGGTCCCTCTCTTCTCCACTCAAGCCCCTGGAGGCAGGACGAAAGGTCGCCTGTCCCTGGTCTCTCCTCGCTGGCAGCGTGGCTCCCCAGGTGCTGCCCAATGTCAGACCGGCCGTGGGTCGTCCATTTATCCCCGTGGGGGCGTGGGCAGCTGGGAGCGGGGGCTCAGGGAGGGGCGACTGTCCAGGAATACCCGAAACCACCGCGGCGGCTCCGCTTCGTGGCAGGAGGCTCTGGGAGCTCTGCCTTTGACCGTCACAACCGGACCAGGGCCAGGCGCTGTGGAAACCCAGACTTAGGGGCAGACGGTCACTTGCAGGGAATTTGTTAATCCGCTGAGCCAAAGTGCATTAGGAAAAAAATGTTGATTTTCAAGCGTGGTGATGGTGTTTAAGAATTACGTATTTAATAAGATCTGCATTTCAGCCACTTGAGGTGCACAGTTCAGCGGCACTGAGCGCGTCCACGACGTCGTCCAACCACCACCAGCTCCTAACTTCCCCACACAGCTCTCACCAGCAGTGCCTGAAGCCTGCTCTCCCTCTGTGGGAACGGACAGGACGGGGAGGAGAGGGAGGAGGGGGAGGAAGGGAAGGGGAAGGAAGGGAGAGAAGGGGGAGGGGGAGGAGGGGGAGGGGGAGGAGGGGGGAAGGAGGAGAAGGTGGAGGGGGAGGGGCTGGATTTTGGGGAGATCATGCACTTTTTGCCCTTGTGTCTGGCTTCTTTCTGTTAGCACAATGTTTTCTTTCTTTTAAAAGGATTTATTTATTTATTTTGAAAGTAAGAGTTACAAAGAGAGAGAAAGGAGCCAGGAGCTTCTTCTGGGTCTCCCACGTGGGTGCAGGGGCCCAAGGACTTGGGCCATCTTCTACTGCTTTCCCAGGCCACAGCAGAGAGCTGGATCGGAAGTGGAGCAGCTGGGACTCGAAACGGAGTCCATGTGGGATGCCGGCACTGCAGGCCAGGGCTTTACCCGCTATGCCACAGCGCTGGCCCCACTATTTTGCTTTTTGAAGAGGTATAGCCACTCTAGTTTGGGTGAAGCGTGTCTGTTTTTTGCACTCCGCTATTGATACGCACGACATGGGTATTTCCCCGTGCTGTTGCACATGTGTGCTTTGGAGCGGTCTATTCAAGTATGTCGCCCAGAGTTCCATTGAATTTTCTTTTTGTTGCTGAGTTGTAGGAGTTTCTGCTACATTCTGGATACTACACCCTCGCGAAACATGTAATTTAAGAATATTTTCTTCCACTCTGCGGGCTGTATTTTTACTTGCTTGCTGTCTTTTGATGCACTATAGCTATTAACTTTAATAAAGCCTACTGAATCTATTTTTTCCTGTTTCCCTGCTTTGCAGTCACTGTGAAATGCAGCGTTGGGGAGATTTTCCCCCACGTCGTCTTCTGGGAGCGTCAGGGTTCTGGCTCTCGTCTTCAGGTCTTGAGTGGAGCTCTGTGTGCGGTGTGAGGTAGGGGTCCAGCCGCATTCCAGAGCGGGCAGATTCCTGGCTCAGAAGGCGCAGCCGGGGAGCGCAGAGCCCTCCGGGGCGTGGGTGGCAGCACTGGAGAGGGGACTGCACACGGGCTGAGGCGTCTCCTGGGGGAGACGGGAGACTCTAAACTTAGCCCGCAGTGATGGCCGCACAGCGCTGGGTCTGCTAGAGCCACTGAATCACACGCTTTCAGGGGTGGATTTCACGCTTTGTGAATTATACCTCAATAAGGCTGTTATTAAAACAGACAGCCAGAAAGCACAGCTGTGGCCCAGGCCTGGCAGCGCCGCCTCCTGCTCTGAGATAATGAAACCTGCTGCCCGGGAGCCATGGCCGCGGGCCAGAGTGTCTCTCCACCGGGTCGTGCTGCCGGATACAGGGGCTTCTTTCACGGGCTTTCTCCCGCTTCAGCTCAGGGCCTGAGGCTGCTGCCAACTCTGTAACCCTGAGAAATCAATCACAAGAGGAAAAGGAGGCCATGTGCAGCAGCACCCTCCTCACCCCTCCTCTGGGCAGGGGTAGGGAGCCTGGAGGGAAGGGCAGGAGCACTGGCAGTCAGCAGGACCTGGTGAGGAATGAGGAGGCCCTCTCCTCCCCGGGAGCCGGTGAGGGGCACAGGGGACGTGGCTTGTCCTTGGGCACCAGAGCAGACGGCAAGGCGCCCAAGGCCTCCCCTGTGGCTGAAGAGCCCTGCAGAAGTAGCAGCTGGGATTGGAACACGGGGCTCCTGCACAGCTCCAGAACTCTCTGTGGGAGCTGGGGGATGGCGGGTGGGGGCGGGGAGTCCTCCCTCTGCACAGCACAGGAACCGCTTCACCCCTGCGCTTGGGGGGAGCTCAGCATCCTCCCGCGGGCAGTGTTGGGGCAGCGCTTGGGCGGCCATTCCGGGCAGAGGGCGTCAGCAAGAGGACGGGCAGACGGAGCCAGTGTGGTCACGAAGGAGCTGACCGCTGTCCCCCGTCCCTGAGGCGCTCACGGCTCCTCCGCTGATCCTGCACCCCCAAGGCTGAGGCCCCCCTGGGACATCACACTGCACCACGGCCCCGGGCCCCTCACCCAGCTTCTCAGGGTACGCGGTCCCCAAGGGCCGACCCTTCCAGCTACACAGCTGACCCGGCACAGCCCCTCCTGCCTCACCTCCACTCAAACCATCTCCACGGTTGGGCCCTGTGCAGGGGGCCTGGACGCCGGCAGTGTTGGGGGAGGGGCACTTCCCCGCTCTGCCCAGTGCGCTGTCTGCCTTAACCCCCTGGCCTTGGGCTGAAGACACGCAGACCCCAGGAGAGCTCACCACAGGGCTGCCCTACCCCCCTGCACAACACGCCTGCTCCCGCTCAGTGCCACCTGCCTCTCCGCTTTGCACGTCCTGCCAGCCTGCAGCGGGGAGCAGTGAGCAGGCTGCCCCCTGCGGACAGGGAGCAACGCGCCTGCCCCGGCCTCCTGTGGGCACCCAGGGCTGCGGGCTGGGAGTCGGGGCCCAGGAAGCGCAGTTCAGCCAGACGCGGCGCAGGAAGCAACGCAGGGGGCTGAACTCTACCTAGCAACAAGATCAGCAGCTGATTCTGCAAGATGGTATTTTTATCCCTAGGACGGGCGGCTGGGAGCTGCTCCCGCCTGCACCACCTGGGAACCCTGCCCCCTCCCCAAGCCCCTCCCGGGCCCGCCCTGCCTACCCTTCTCAAAGGCAGGGCCTCTGTCTCTGGAGCTTGGGGGTGGGGCCTGAGTCTCCAGAACCCGCCATCTCCCTTTTTTTCTCACGCTTCTGTCTCCTGCCCCAGGGCCTTTGCACTCCCATGATCGGAGCAGGGGCCTCGGAGCTTGGAGGCCATCAGCAAGGGGCTCTGTGGGGCCCAGCTCCCTGACCCCATGGGCTCAGAATGGGCTCCCGATGGCTGCGTGAGGCTCGGGGATGCTCTCTGCTGCGGCCTCTTCTCCGCCTGCCCCCTCGCGATGGGCAGGGGACCCGGAGCCCGGAGCCTGGCTGCCGGACGGCACACGGTGGCCCCAGGTTTTATAGAGGACACATCACAGGTCCAGAACATGACGCTGCAGACTCCTCTTCCCGGACCTTACTCAGCAGATGCCCATGGGGGCCCCGGCGGCTGGAGAGAGGCCATGGACCCAAGGGCCACAGAGCGGAGGCTCCAGCCTGGAGTGGGCACAGAGCTCGGCAGCCTGACCGGTCCGGCAGCAGGAGCAGCCCTGCGGTGGGAACAGGGAGGCCCAACGGAGCCGGGCTCCCAGCTCCACAGCAGGATGGCTGCAGCGGCCGGGTGGGGGTGCAGGGAGTTCCTGTGTGCCCCTGCCCTCCACCAAGTGCCGCAAGGAGCCCAGGCCCGGCAGAGGCACCGCCGGCCACCACGGCACGGTCCCGTGAGAGCTCCGAGGCCCGCGTTAAACCTAAAAAGGACGAGTGCCTGCTGAAAGAGGAGGAAGACCCCCCTAGTTAACAACCGCGGCCAGGGCCGGGGAACCGTGTGTGTGTGTGTGTGTGTGTGTGTGTGTGTGTGTGTGTGATGCTCAGGCCCAGATGGATCAGGTGTCGGATGACGGGGATTTCGAAGCGGCCACAAGAAGCCATCGTAAATTCTCTCCAAACAAAGTAGAAACAAAGTCTCAGCAGAGAAGCTTTGTAAGCCTAGATTTTTTAAGAACAACCTGATTAAAAATCATAGGACTGTGGCATAGCCGGTTAAAGCTCCGGCCTGCAGTGCCGGCATCCCATATGGGTGTCAGTTCACGTCCCGGCTGCTCCACTTCCCATCCAGCTCTCTGCTGTGGCCTGGGAAAGCAGTGGACGATGGCCCAAGTGCTTGGGCCCCTGCACCCACGTGGGAGACCCTGAAGAAGCTCCTGGCTCCTGGCTTTGGGTCAGTGCAGCTCCGGCCGTTGCGGCCATTTGGGGAGTGAATCAGAGGCTGGAAGACCTCTCTCTCTCCCTCCCTCCAACTCTGTCTCTCATGTAAATAAATAAATCTTTTTAAAAATATATATTGGTTGGGGCTGGTGCTGTGGTGCACCAATTGGCAGTTGCAGCCAATTGGGGAGTGAACTAGCGGATGGAAGACCTCTCTCTCTTTCTCTTTCTCTGCCTCTCCTCCCTCTGTGTAACTCTTTCAAATAAATAAGTCTTTAAAAATATATATTGGCTTGTCTTCAGACATCACTCTGACGATTTTTTTTCCAACCCCACATTTTTCACCCTCCTGGATTCCGGTGATGCTGGATTTTAGGTTTTGGCCGGTGCACCTCTGAAGCTCCGTTAGATGTCCGTTCAGTCTGCTTTCTCCCGTGGCTCGGAACGGCTGAATTCCGTCGGTCTCTCTGCAAGGCTGCCAGTTCTGGCTCCTGGCGTCCTTGCTGTCACTGAGCTCGCTCAGCGAGGTTCTTAATTTGATTAGGGCATTTTTCAGTTCTATGATTTCTTTTTTAAGATTTATTTTTATTTATTTGAAAGATGGGGTTACAGAGAGAGGTAGCACCAGAGAGAGAGAGAGAGAGAGAGAGCGCGCGCGCGAGCGAGCTGGTCTGGAAGTGGAGCAGCCGGGATGCAAATCCAGGCCCACAGGGGATGCTGGCGCACGGGCGGAGGCTTAGCCCACTACACTACATCGCCGACCCCCAAGACAAGCCGGCCAATATTAAGAAGACATAAACCTACTGACTGAAGAAGTGGCGTGAACCCAGAACAGAACAAACCCAGGCTGATCCGCACTGAGGCCCATCATGACCAAACCTGCACTCAGCTCACAGGAGACGGCCTGTGCGGAATGCGGGAAAACGAAGACCTCCCTGAGGTGTGGAGGGAGAACTCTGTGGGTCCACACCTGCGCTTGCAGCCGGCTACAGGCAGAGGGGACCGGGACCGGGACCCGGACCGGGACCGGGAGGAGAGCGAGGCTGGGGCCTCCCGAGGCGAGGGGAACCACGGCCAGGGCAGAAAGAACGGAAAACGGGGTCGTCTTCAGTCCACGACTTTATTCACACTTTATGGCTAAAGAAAAATGCCGACGCCTTCTACCGTGGTTCCTCGGGGCAAACACTGGAGAAAACTGTATTTTAATGTTTGGGAGGACACGGGCCATCAACGGAGGCCAGGACTCCTTTCCACATGAGG